AGAATCCAAATCATGCCGACAATTATAAACAGCCGAACATTCTGAAACTAAAAATAAAATGAAAAACGAATTGCATTTGTTATATTCAAGATAACAGTAATTCAGTAAACGGCAAGGGAGCTTACTTAGTCAGATTTCTTAGGTCGCGCTGTCCATCCGATGATTTTAGCACGCGTCGGTTCTCTCTGTTTTGTACAACTATTCGCAGTATGAATCGTTTCTCAAAGTGAGAGTGGGATCTGTATTAATTAAGCATGTGTGGGCCTCGACACCAGAGTTATTTCTGTAGTATGCATAAGCATAAATGAGTATATGCATATGCATACATACTCATTTATTATATTTAGTACAGTTTGCTTAAGAACAATTATGAAAATTACTTTACTATAGTAAATAGTTAAAAAAGGCTATAATATTGTATATACACCATATTGATCAGCCGAGTCAATTTAGCCTGCATACATAAGCTAAACTCTTAAAATTCAAATATTCTATTTACAGTTTTAAAATTGCAATTTCTATTTTATCTGCCCACCATTATCTATTGTTAGCTATTTTCGAAGACTCTGGAGCTATCAATTGCGACTCCAGGAATACAGGAACGCGTTTAACTACTCACAGTTTGAAAAATTCCTATCAATATAGGCAATACGCGACATTCGCTACATAAACATTACGTAGAAGTTCTGGATATGTGCAGAACTGTGACCACACGGTGAACTCATACGCAATTTGAAAGCCACAAATAATATCTCGGAATCACAATCGAACGGAACATAATCTTACGAGAATACTCGAACAAGACTACGTACGTCGTAGACAAACAAATAAATCCAGCTGCACATTACCTGTCCAATAGGAATTCAAGCTTCCACCAAAGCAAACAGAAAAGTATTTTAAGTAAAATTTCAACTAATATAAAATTTGACATAATTTAAATATATTTGATTTTAGCTCAATTATTCGTCTCTGATTTCATGAGCGAGGTCAGAATTTACAATCCACGCTATATCATTATTGATTTCGTGCACCCTCTATAGGATATTTATATAAAGCATATCCTAGTTGATCCCTTCCTACTAGGGACCTCATCCATGTTTTGGGCTAGTACATGAACCCAGTTCAATTACAGTATTCACGTCCTTTCGAATAGAATTTATTACAATACAAATTATTAAATATTCCTTATGAATTATTTCTATTGGCATTACTAACTTCCGAACGCATCAGTTTCTTGGCTCGTTTAGCTTGAGTAAGCCTGTCGAATATGCAATAAATTAGCCGACTATAATGTCTTATGTTAGTTTAATTACCTTTTATAAATTGAATTGAGCTCGTTCCTTTTGAGGACAGTCACCACGAAGATGATAATGCCTTGACCTGAAGTTGGAACCTCGATCCACGTCATATTCAATTCCGAATCAAAGCGAGACGTAAGATACGAAATTACTTCAAGTAGCCAAACAACTCCGGAAATAACGAAAAGTTTCAGAAACACTTTAAAACTTTCAAAATAATAATGAATACAATATTTTACCAAAAGTTTCGTATCACGTGCTTAGCACGATTCTTTAATTTTTGTATGCTTTCGGATCGCTTCCACATAGCTCGGGTCGTCTTGTTTTCCTTATATATTTTCCAAGCAGTCCGAACAAAAAGTCCTATATTAACAAGCAGGATAACTAGCATAGGCCCATGATAAAATATCATTGCAGACCAATCTGCAGCTATAAAAAAAAATTATATGTTAACTGAATTTCAACTCTATAGCACTCTACGCCATTTCTTTCTCGAGATGAGACACGACATAGTATTTGCTGATTTGCCACGCCCTTGTGATGGGCACGAAAATCTTTCCCCTTTATTAAATGAGGTAACGGATGGTAGGACTGAGAGCAAAAAAGACGTTGCACAAAACAAATATACTACAGTATACAAATATTGACAGATCGTACTGTTTATCCAACAAGAGTAAACGGTAAATCCAGGTCTCCATTCAACGAGTCTATCCTTATCCATGTTCTTCATAATAAAGTCGGTCGAGATTGTAATCAGAAGTAACAGAGCAGCAGTCAGCCACACGAAGAGATGGCATTTCTTGAGGTTAACCTTCAATTTGCCGTATTCCTTGATCGCTTGCCAAGAATTATAGTTGATAATTAAGAGCCAGAAGAATATACACATGACCGCGTAGTAGCTAATGCAACCTGAAAGGATCTTATTTGGAAATTGTGTACTGCACGAAAATTCGAGAGTTTCAAACATACCAAATATTAAGCAGACCACAACTTTCAAATGATTCCGGACGGAATTCTCAATGCGGAGTAAGGAGAAACTCAATGTTAGACTGATGAAGTAACAGATGCTGAATTGCTTGTGGGGGGAGCGAAAGTCCGGCATGCAAAAGTGGGCAGCAATAGTGAGGAGCATAAAGACTACGGATACTATCTGAACTGTAACGAATTAGAATGATGTGAAATGTCCTAGATTGAAATCAGGATCTGTTTTCTTACTATACGCATCGGTGTTGTCCTGCATTTTATTGCACTGATGAGGCAGTATTCTATACCGACCATCCTTTGATTTCTGTGGTTGCATGCAATAATGTTGTTTCCCAAAATCTCTACCATCAAATTTTCTATATATATATATTTATATATATATATTTTAAATATATACTTTTATCAATAAGTGACGCATCAAACCTCATATAATACCCATTGCTCATCGCGATTAGTGTACGGATCAAGACTAAAATGGCTTTTGCAGGGTATACCGAAAAGTTGCACTGCAAACTCCTTTACAATGTCTATCTCTGCCTCAGTGCCGTTGTGCAACATGACGTTCACGAGAGGATTCTAATTTGGAATATTACCCACACATTCCCTCTTTTGCTTGACCAGCTCCTTTTGAGGCTCACAACAAAATCGAGCACAGGACATTAGCTGACATATACATCCGCGTGTGTGCTCGGGAATCCGTTCAAATGTACCGTCAAACATGATCTGATAGTTGTATTTTCCTGTTTTTTCATTTGGTATATTTATGTTCTTAAACACATACGACCCGTCTGATAGTTGTGTGCTATTTGACAGATCGACTGTATCGAAATAATCACAGCCGGGAATATCGCCTGATATCTCAGCGATAATAACGCTGAGCACAATAAGAACAAATCTCATTCTCTGAAATCAATGAATATCACATATGCTTAAAAAAATAGATTTCCAATTATCGCATAAAAAGGATCTTAATGTCTTGTCTAATCAGTCAGAGGAACGAACTTTGTTCTCCGTAAATTTTGAATATTTTCTACATTATAAGGGGTAGAGTCCCAAGTCTCTATCAACTTGGAAACCTACAATAAGGTATTACTTAATCGATCTAATATAATATATGAACATTTTTAGAGGCCCATAAAATTACACAAAAAATAAAAATTACTTTACGCCTTCCCATTAGGAAATGCAGTTTAATTGCTCCAACTATTTTAAGTAAACTAAACGATTCTGGCTGTAGCACTTGTATAAAGCTGAGGCAAAATGTAAATACTTTTAAAAATAAAAATATAGCCTTATCGAGTATGTGGGACTAAGATATTTGCTCTTGATGACCAATGTATTTTGAAACGTAATATGTATAATATAGTGAAGAGTGACTAATAAGCTGAACAATAAATTATTATAAATTCATATGTCTACAGATCTGATTTCTTTATCTGATTTAAAATAAACTTGTTCTGTAAGGTGGACAACCTAAGACCGGGCTTTATCTATCAAGCTAGTTCAGAATAATTTCAATCCTAAAACTCTACTTTCTATTAAATTTGTATATTAGTTTTTTTTAAACAAATGACTTCGCTCAGTGGAAAGAAAAAGGCCAGTAAAGGTATAAATTGTTTGAACTTTATTACATAGGTATAGATACATATATAAAATATATTAAACGGTAACGTAGTTATATTATATTAATTGTACTGTAGTAAACGTAATAATCATATTATTAAAATCCCTAACACATGAATATATATTGTGCATAAACTTTAAGTTTATAAGCAGCAAACATTTTTCGAAAATAATTTGATTTCAATTTGTTTTGATTTTATATATATATATATATATATATATATATATATATATTTTTTTTTTTTTGTATTTATAGATGTTAGAATTTGAAGGTCATTTAACATGTCACAACTTAGAAACATAGATTTTACTAAAACTAATGACGACAACAGCGATGAATCAGAAATTTACATTCATCGAAATAAACCCCATTTCGAAAATGAAATTTGGTATAAACTTTAACAAAATTTAACTGCTTTTCTAGCTTCGTCCAAGAGTTTTGGAAAAAAAAAACACTTAAATACATTTAGGCTAGCTCATCAAACTTAAGAGAAGTTGTATATAATTTGTAAGAAGTTATCAATATGTACACATCAATTTTTTTTTTTATTTTCATTGTTTTTTGTTTTGTTGCTTAAATGTTGATTTGACTAGTGCTTTACGAATATTTATTTTAAAACGCACTTGGAGCCCGAGTTGAAACCACAACGCTATTATAGTTGCAAAAAGTGTTACACATCTAAAAATACATTTAATTCACAATTAATTATAGTTTGAATCTATTAGATTTTCTTAACGTGGGCTGGTTCTTGGCATCAGACAGGCGCATCTCAATTGATGTCCATATCTGTCTGTGTGTGTGTGTGTATTTCTCTTAGACCTTTACAGAGTTCTTTACAGATCTTTTCAATTTGCATTCAGGTGGCTGACAACAGCAGCACTTGAATGTGGACTATGCTCATGGGATCAATCAACAGCGCCCAGTTTCGAACTGGGCTGCCCAATGTCCTCGAGTTGCATCGTCTTATATGTACAGAAAAAATATTATATATATTTATATATATATATGTGTGTGTGTGTGTTTATACTGTTGTTTCCAAGTCGACTCCCAACAGCTTGAATTTCGCACAAAATTAGGAATCAATCATTTGATGATTATTCACAGATGTAGTGAGGTAGACTTGTTCTCTTCCATCGCCGCTGCTTACCAGCTGTTGCTCATGGCCTGCTCCAGCTTGGCCTTGGCCACAGCGGCCGCAGCCGCTGCCGAGCTGGCGCTGAGCGGTCCCGTGCCTGCGGCAGCCACGCCCTGTTGCTTGCCAGCAGCAACGGCTGCAGCAGCAGCAGCGGCCGCTGCCGCCGCCAGCAGCGATGACGACGATGAGCTGGGCATAAAGTTGACATTGATGTTGATGGGATGCACCACGGGCATGCTGGTGTAGCTCTTCTCGAGCAGATCGACGCCATTGAGGTACGGCACCAGCGCATTGTAGTCCACATTGAGTGGCACGTAGTAGTTGCCCTGGCCGTGCAGCGCGAAGATGGGCACAGTGAACGAATGCCGGGACGGCAGCGGCGCCGTTGTGCTGCTCGGCGTGCTCAACTGGGCGCCAGCAGCAGCGCTGAGCTTGGCCAGCAGCGGACTAGAATTGGAATTGGTATTGTGCAGCTCCGACTTGATGTCCTTGATATCACTGAAGCTGAAGGAGGGCTTGTCGTCACGCCCCAGGCCCATGGGGCGTGCCGGATTGATGCTGCTCGCCTCACTGTGCACGTCCAGCGGCAGATCCCCATTGCAGCCGGCCGCTGCGGCTGCCGCTGCCTCGGCCAGTTTCCGCTTCTTGGCCATGATGGGCGCTATCTCCGGCTCAGTGCCATCCTTGGAGTGTTCCGACAGCGCATGCAAATGCGAATGCTCGTTCTGCAGGTGCGGCGCGTGCTCGCTGCTCGTCTCCTCGTCGTGCAGCTCGTGCACGAAGCGCTCCTTGATGTGGTTCTTATACTTGTAGTTGTTGTTGTGCTCAATTTCGTGCGACGACTCCGAGTAGTTGCGCATCCTCGCCGACAGCTGGCTGTCCGTGGTATGATGACTGTGACCGAGGTGCGCGTGCTGCTGCAGCAGTGCATCCCGCGGCGGCGGCGAGTGCATGTTCGAGGTGTCCGTATGCAGCATCGGCTCGTGCGAGGACTCAAAGTCCTGCTGGCTGCTGTCCGTGTGATGGTGAGGTGCCGTCGACGTAATCACCGCCGCCTGATGCGGCTGCTGGTGCGCAGCTATCGCTGCCGCCCCCACAGGCATCTTGGTCAGCGTGGGGCATGTGGACGTCGACGTGGTCGAGCTGGCCGCATTGCTGCTGGCAGTATTGGAGCCCGTTGAGTTGGTGGGTATATTATCGGCAGCGACGCCATTGACACTGCCATTGCCCGCAGCCAGCTTGGCCCCGCTCGGCCCCTCCATGCTGGCGCTCGACGATGTGCTGGCATTGGTCGCCGCGGCAACAGCAGCGGCCGCCGCAGTCGCCTGCTGACTGCGATGCAGCTGGTTGAGATGGTTGCGAAAGCTTAGATCCTTGACATCATTGTGATCGTTGCTATGCTCCACATCCGAGGCGCCCAGCATATCGCGCAGATGGCACAGCGGCGGATGGTAGGCCTGATGGGGGCTGCCGCTGGAGGCGCTCACATTGTCCGGCATATGGCAGCTCCGGCTGGACTTGTAGCAGTCGGCTGGCAAAGAGAGAGAGATCAATTAACATACAGTTAAGGTCGAGAGATACGGATTCGTGTACCTTTGAACACCTCGTCGATGTGCTCCTGCAGGCGGGCCAACAGGCGATAGCAAAAGTCCTGCATTTGACTATCGTAGAGGAACTTGGCCGCCTCCTTCATGCAGTCCATGTAGCCGCTGCGGTACTCGCTCTCCTTTTGCAGGATCTCGCTCTGCAGGTGCTTCAGATGTCGGATGGCCATCTCGATGATCTCGGTCTTCTCGATGCGGCCACGCCCCTTGCGTTGATACTGTGGCGGTATGAGGCGCGACAGGTCGGCCAGGCAGGAGTTCATGCGGTCGCGGCGACGCTTCTCAATGATGCGATGCGACAGAGGATCTTGCTGTTGGGGCAGACAAATTGGAGAACAATTAGAAGCAGCTCGACGAGTGCCTAAGCGACTAGTGAGTAAAAGATCATTGAGTTTCTGGACCATTATGCTAAATAATGAGTCTTTCCACTGTTTTTTTTTTTTTTTTCTTTATATTTTAATTTTTCTTCTTTTTTTTTTTTTTTTGGTTTTTATTTTCATCAAATTCACTAATTTGGAAATGGTTTTGTAATTTTTATTTTCTTTAAACGCTTGAGTACAATAAAAAAGGGTCAAAAGCGGCGGCCAACTTCTCGGGATGATGTGCGTGTGCGTTCAGTGTGAGTTGTAGGCGTGTGAGTTGTGGGCGTTGTCATCGACATCGACATCGCGGCCATTGCCAACCAACCATTACCAACCAATCATCAGTCATCGGTCATCGGTCACCAGTAATCAGTTACATAATGAGTACGAGCAATGAACTTGTTACTCGGGCGCTTTATCTTTTGATCCTTTGATCTTGTTTTCGAATTTGATTAGTGTCGCGATTAGTCGCTCTGAAATTGTAATATTTACCCTCGATGTTTTGTTACGGCGTCCGGTGGCATATTCAGCATCATCCTCGCTGTATGCTGTTGCTGATGTTGAAAAATTTAAGCTAGATTCTGTGCAATAAGGAAAACTGGAGACTGCTGCTTCGCTATAATTCGTATGCGTTTTGTATCATATGCAAAAAGAAGTGGGAAGGATAAGAAACACAAATAAGTCCAAATCTTATTCAAAAGTTTGTCAAATTTTGGTTTTTTTTTTTTTTTTTTTTTGTTTGTTTTTTTTTTTTTAGCATTCGTTTTCATTGTTTTAGTAATGCATTTATTAGGCGCATAACTTAAACTGACTTAGGAATATAGAGCGTAAGACTAATTAAGCTAAATATTATTATGTAGTTAAATTATGTGTGGTTCATTTTATTGTTGTGGTCAATTCTTTATTCGTTTCAAAATGAAGTAAAACTAAACAATAAACTAAGGCTGTAATTTGAAAGAAATAAGGAGAATTTGTTTATTAATCGAAATGTGAATACTCTCAGTCTGTCGCGCGTCGTCCCTCTCCCTCTATGTCTCTCATACTCTCCCTCTCTTACAGATATCTCAATATCTCATTTTGTCTTATTACGTTCCACAGTTGGTAGTCAACCAGCAGCTAATCCGAGAGTCCCCGATTCTGCACCCCAAGTAGTCGCTTGGCTAAAATCAGACGAGGCGATTTGTTTTGTTGTGTGTTGTAGTAAAAGAGGATAAAAGTGCTTTAAAATACGGTTAGCATTCTATGTATATGTATATGCATTAAAAACATACCCAGCTATGTGTTCAATTTGGCACGCACACACGCACACACAGAAACACTGCAATACTTACACTAATGCAAAAATTTAAACTTTTTTCAACACTTTCTGGCAGGATCTTTCGAGAGCTATGTTTGCAATAGTCGAGCCTCTTAAATAAATAATCCCTAAATGATCACTTAAATAATTCAGCTAGCTTTACTAAACATAGAATTGGTGTATTTGTCTTAATCTCTGCTGTTAATCTAAATACAGAATCTACACGTTTTAATCGCATGTGTCAGAAATTAAAAACAAAAAGAAAACACTTAACATTCAACAAAATTGAATAAAAAATTTCATGGTATTCAAATTAGATGGCACTGCGGATAAATTCTCTTTAGAATACAAAAAATAATAAAAGCAGTTGCCAAGTGCGGCAAAAAGTAAATAAATGAACGGAATCAAAAGAAAGAACAATTTCAAGCATTTCAATATTAACAGCGAGCACCAATTGTGACCCAAACAAACAAAGCTATAGGAAACATAAAAGCAAAAGGAAAGAAAAAACAAAACAGAATCAAACAAACAAACAAATGAAAAGCATATATTCCGAATATAAATACTTTAGATATATTATCTAAATTTACCAAAAAAAATATCAATGGGTGGCACAGAAAAGCTATAGAATATATTGTTGTATTATATTTTGCTATGCATAAAAGAAAAAAAGTCCGGATACTTCACATATAAACTAATTATTGTTTTTTAGGTAATTCATTTCTATTTTTGTCTTTGATGTTAGCCAAGATTAAGTTTGTATGAAATGTCAAACTGGCTAAGCAAACTCCCGATTACAAGCGGGCGATACAAGTAGCTATAAACCATATCTACTGCTGGGCCATACAACCATACACGAAATAAACCGAACCAGAAAACACTAGAAGAGTTGCGACGACTGCGATAAGCAGCAACACGCAACGATTCGTCGAATATGTAAACAATATTTAAACACACACACATGCATAACGTGTGTGTGTGTATATGCTTGCATACAGACGCACGGAATACCAGTTTTTGCCAGTGTACGGCGCTTCAATCTAGTTTGTTTATCCCCGCGCAGTAAACGCTTGTGAAATCTTGAAATTGAGACATCGGCGACTACTTAACTTAGGAGAACAGTTCGGACACTCTGACAACGCCCTGGATCAAGTGTGCAAGCTGGACAACGCTGTAAATGTCACGCACACAGCCTGGCGCACGTGACGTATGAGTAATGCGCGCTTAGGGTTCAATTAAAGGCTTTCAGCACTCTCAACGTATTTGCATACACTTAGCAAAAGGGTCAGCCAGCTCGCCCGGCTGAAGGGAAGCCGCCCACTGGGCACGCCGGCCCGTGTGCAGGGCGTGTTGGTATTTTTCGCTGCATTCTCAAGTAACAATCGGCGACCCTTGGACCTGTTGGACGGCGTCATTGCCAAATCACTCGCTTGATTCATGAAATAACGACGCGATGCCCTGAACATTGAACAGTGAACATTGATCCCGGCGGACACGCCCCCATTGAAGCCGCCCCAACTGGCAACGGTTCGCGTTGGCGTTTTCGAACCTGGGGGCCATTGGGCCAAAAACATCGTCGTCGCACTTTTCAGCTATTAAGTAATTGGCAAGCAACGGCGCTCGTTTAATTTTAGAGATGAGCCAGCCAGCCAGCCAGCCATCAACCCAGAAGCCTGCAGAAGTGCAATCAGAAATTCATCTAAGCGACAGGTAGCTCGCAAGCCGAATGACGCCAACTGTTGATCAGCCACACGTTGTTTGCCAACAGCATGAACGGACATGGGACGCATGCTTCAGAAAACGCATTGGCTGAAATTGAAAGGCGCAGAAGCCCGAATACTCTGCCAGGTAAACAGGCAGGTGTGAGTGAGGGAATTGAATGCTAAATGGTTCCAAACTTCCTTCAGTTCATTATGAGTATCGTGATAAATTAATTTCATTGTGAATCACCTGTATGCTCTAATTAGAATGTTTTGCACACGCACGCCCTCAAAAGTTGTTTTCGCGATATCGTGCGTTAACCTAAAATTAATGGAATTATATTCCATTGATGGCTAGCTTTACGGTTGCCAGTTGTTATTTGCGTCCATAGATAAGATATCTTTACAGCTACACGTGATATGAAAGCGCTTTAAACAGGTGCACATTCATGTACATATTCACGAATGCTAACTATTGATTCAAATGACTTTCTGACTTTCAGATAGCATTTTACGTTATGTATGTACGAAGTTCGAAGTTAGCCAAGCACCACTCAATAGATTGCCCATATATGCAGTAAGTTAGTTTTGTAAATAAACAACAAAGATAGTGCTGCTACTCGGAAATACAACAACTATATATACATATATACATAACAAATATATATACTCTTGTGATCAACATCACAGATTAAATAATATGTGAATGTTTTCATCTCAGCAGATGATTCATTAACTGACTAAGTGGAAAATTTTTCGTCATATAAACACGTCTGAGCTAATTCCTGTCAATTTCTATCAATGACTGTATAAACAATTATGTAAACGCGACCCAAGAACTCAATGTCAAGCACTTCCGATACGGAATGTGTGTCAAATGAGGGGGACCTTCGCTTCACATTTGAGAATTTTCATATTTCCACACTTCAGTTGTCTTGTTGTCTGCCGCCAATTGTGAAATGCCACAAATAAAGGCAATTCAAATAAAATAAAAAAGTGAAAAACACTAGAGACGATGACGCGCTGCGTAGGGGGAAAACAACAACAAGTAAACTCAAATATAAATATAATAAATTAATTTCTTTGCCTTGGTAAATTAGCGTCACACACAAAACACACAAAAATAATGATGAAAAACAAAAGTTGTTCGCACTGAGAACCTGCACGACATGGAGACTAGCTTCAGGCCGATCATTGGCCCGCCATAACCTTGACTGCACCTGCAGCAGTCAGCGGCGTGGCTGATAAGATAAATAGACCATATAAACAAACGCTCGTGCAGGGCAGCCGCCGGGCAACAGTCGCAAACAAGAGCAATTTAGCAATTACCAAAGTATTATTAGAACCGCATACAAGAGCTGGATTTTTTCGTTTTATTAGTTTTTATTTTTGCCATAAAGACTAGTTGACTTGTTGTTGACTTTAGCTGCGATCACGTGAGATTGATTTGATATGCTTGAGAAAACTGGAAATCACACGCAAACCGGTTGCAGTTGCCCCGTTGAAACTTTTTAATTAGCATTATGTATAGATATAGCCATGGCTGACTGTACACGTGATATAATGACCAAAGCACTCGCTCAATGGAGAGCCCAGTGCCAAGTGCCGAGTGCCAATTGCTTATTCAACAAAAAAGAAGAAAAAAACTAAGCGAACTGCAACACAGCAAAACGTGTCCACGTGTCGAGAGCAGCGCATAGCAACAGCAGCAGCAGCAGACACGAATGTGAAACACAACTGCCTCAAGTCGTCTATTTTTATTCCGATTCTTCATGCTCAGTAAACATTATGCTGGCGTGCTTCTGCAATTCAATAAACATAAACAACAATAATTTACAAAGCAACTAGCTCAATTGAGCACAGACGCTGAGTGCTATACGAGTCACACAGCTGCATTGCTTATACGCCACATGTTACGCCCCCACACACACATACACATATATCTACACATATCAATATGCATAAATATAAATATATCTATATGTAGTTGTAGCGTTGGCAAAATGACGATGCAGCGGAAATGAACATTGCTTAATCCATACAAAAATAAATCGCTAAAGGCCAACTATTCCAGAGAAATGTCACTTGGTATGTCTAAAGATTCTATATATCGAAAATTCCTATAAGATAAATATTATTCTATACGAATTCCTAAAAAATAAATATTGTTTTATAGCTATTCTTGAAATATCGAATATTAGAGCATATTCAACAATTTTACTTGAAAGCAAATTTCAAAGGAATTAGATTTTATAGTATAGTATTATTGGATTGTTTTGAATGTAAGTCATAAGTAAGAACTATCCTGCAAAAATATGCGATATTTTATTTCCTTTGAAATATTCTTTCAAGTAACATCGTGTATGCTTTAATATTCGATGTTTCAACAAAACCTATAACATATCATTTGTTATCTAGATAATAGCAATTTATATTAAAAGCCTAGACATTTTTCATTAAGCCTGTTAAAGAGTATTCAAAGTATTCGGATCAAACCATAACTTCTAATAATAGTTCTTTCTTTTTAAATAAGCTTTCAAGTAGCATTGTTGAGTTAAGTTTCCACATTTTTCTAAAGTAAATAAATTTAAGCATAATATTTTGAAATTTGACCAACATAAACACAGATATATGTACATATGCATATATCGAGACACGCACACGTATTATTTGTTACGGCACACAAATATCACACATCCACACACACTCACGCATCAAATACTTTTGATAACTAGGTCAAAAGACATATAAATATATCCATTTGAATCATTTAGAGGCAATCAAATGCAATGCGGGCCCAACTCATGTGTCGCCGCTGACTCACCTGCCCCGCCGCAGGCCCCAGTCAATGCAGAGTGCATTAATCACAGCGCGGAAAACCAAAAGATACATTTACACACAGATAGAGACACAGGCACACACTCACACAGACATATTATGATTGTTTTGTGAATTTCTCAATATTTGCGGCACGTTTGTCAAACGGCACGAGGAATCTCGCGAGCTCAAATATAAACATGCAGTGTGGAACGTATATGTGGAACACATATGAATGTATATGCAAGTGCCTCTGTCTGCGTCTGTGTGGGTCCGTGTGTATGGGTGTGTTTGCATGAAAAGAACTGCATGGAAATGATCGTGTGTACGTGCCTGTGTCGGGGATGGCAATGGCCGAACGCTGACGATAAGCCGAAGCGATTCCGAATGGCGTTTGGAATCCAATTCGAAATTGGAATCAGTGAGCGCCGCTATTCCAATTTGAAAATTTTGCCCATACTCATTATTGTACGTTTGTGTATGTATGTGTGTGAGTGTGCGTGCGTATATGAAATTTTATTTGTTATTTATAGAGCACAAGCATGCGTTTGTTGTTGTTTTACTTCGCTATATTGATATATTTGAAATAGATCACTAAAGTGTACGTACATACATATATATGTATATATATCTATATATATATATATATATATATATATATATATCGGTGTATATAAATTCGATTATTTGCGGCTAGCTTTGACGTGTTGTCTTGCTGAACATTTGTGCGTTGCTTAATCTACATGACGAACTTGCAACAGCTGACAGGATTTCATCATGTAACACAAACGTGGCCAGCAAACAAACACACTTTCTTAGATTTGTCTCGTTGCAGTCTCTCATCGATAGCCACTGAAATGCAGATCACAAATCACAAATCATAAATCACGAAACACTAATCACTAATCACTAATCACTTGTTGCTTATCACTGGGAGTGGCTGGGGTCACGTCGTCTTAAAGATCCCGAAATCGAAAACAACGAGAGACAGCTGCATATTTGAGTTTGGTATGTGGAGCAGCTGCCTCGTCGTGCAACAAACCCGAGATCTCACATATTTTTGCACAACCCACACTCCTTGTTCAGGAATATTACATATACATATACATATATATACTATATATGGCCGGACATACACAGTTATCCGGTAAGTACATACAACAATGTGCGTCACTAGAAATTCGCTTTTATCGCGTGCTTGTTTATCTCTTTTATGGATGACATGATTGTACTAGTTGAGTTGTTGTTTGTTGATTAAAGCATCGCTAGAGTAAATTATATACGTTGTAAATATATGACGGCTACGCAGACGTGTGTTAACTTCAAGTGCCAAGTGACGACTTGAATAAACTGGCAAACAATATAATGATAATGATATCGAGCCCGACAAAGATTGCGATAACCGTCACGATGATAATGCTGGCTATAAGGTGGCCAAAACTGGAAACTCCTTTAATTTCGTTACTACTCTGTTCAGGTTCTCTTTCTAATTTCGTGATACATGACAAAGATGAATCGAAATATTTATTAAACACAATTAATTAAAAATTCCTTACTTTTCTTTCCCCTCTTATAGTTTATGTAGACATAATTAGTTCATTTATATATTTACATAAAAATACATTCCTAAGCCTACACAAACATATATGTATAACCCACAGATAAGCCTCGAAATGCCAAACAGTTTGGCTAATTGCCTTAACTTGTCATGTCTGGACTTCATTTATTAATCACGTGAGCCTTGAGTGGCTCATTGATTGATCTTAAATAAGAGAACATGGGCAAGACAGCATCTGTGCTTAGCTATTGGTAAATGGATTTGTCAATATATTAATTATATCGTTCATTACGAATGAGTGTGTTAGTGTTGTATACTTGACGAATGTCCGATTGGAATGGGTGCATTTAATAGAGGAGCATATTTATAGAAAATCACTTAAAGGCGTCATTCTACTGGACACAAAAATAGACAATAACACAAAAACAATCAACTACAGTTGCTGACCTTCAAAAGGACACCGACTAGTAAACACACACAAACACATACACACAAGTGTGCGTGAGTGCTTGTTTGTGTGAGGGCAACACGCCCACAAAAGCCACTGAAATGAGCGCTCCAATGGACTATTTATAGCCCTAAAGCATTTTGGCCGTTGACATTTAGTGGAAATATAAGCGGGCGATTTATAAAAACCAATCAGTCCGGTTGGCCCAAGCTCTTATTTATTCATAAAAACTTGCTATATGTACGATAGTATGAATATGCATAAACATATATAGATGAAATAAATAATATATATTATATGCACACACGTTGTTTTGACTACTGCCCAGAATAAAAAAAACACACACACACACAAAACTAAAATTCCACGCGAATTCAAGTTCAGAATACATATTGAAAAGAAGAGAGAGAAAGAAGGGGTAAGCCCCCAAAAGTCAGCGTCACGTTTGCCCAATCGTGTGTGTTGTATTTTGCCAGTGTTTTGGCAAAATGTTTGCATAAATAAATACATCAACTAAAATCCATTTTAAAAATAGAGTCAAAGGCGTCAAGCGAACGCGAGTCTGCCTGCCCACGTTTTCATTCGTTTTTCACTTAATTTTTGCTTCTTTTTCCTTCTTCATTTTGCTCAACTGCCAAAAATAGCCTCACGATCCACGCCCAATCGCAAACTGACAGACATACACACAGACGCACACACAAATATATACTCACACATGTTACTATGTGTACCGTTACAATGCCGCCTGCTAACTTAGCCTACAGCTTAAACATGATTTAAAATTAAACTAACTGTAATTTATGCATAAACTTAAGCGCGGGCAGGTGAAAGTGAGTATGTTTATTGTTTATTATTGTTTACTGTTGTCCTAGTTGTTGTTCTTGTGGTGGTGGAGTGCTCTGGCAAATACCTTTCGTATATATACCTACCTCTCATACTTAACCGGATGTGCTGCATGTCCGTTTGCCTCGCTCCAATAGGGCTCCATGCTGCTGTTGCTGCTGTGATTCCGGCGGCTGCTGCTAGAGGTGACGATCCTGGGCAAATTTTCGTTTGCTGCTATCCTCTGCTGCTGCTGCTGCTGCTCCTGCTGCGTCGACGTTACTTGCTGTTGTGGTGGAATGGTGGAGGGTATTCGCTCTCTACGTCAATGCAGGAAAGACAAGATAAAATGCCGGCGAGCGAGCGCACGAATTCGTATGACAGCAAACAGGTTGTCGGCCACGGCGAATTTATTGCGGCGAATTGCGAATTGTTGCTCTGTTCAATTGTATGGTGGGTTCGCACAGCCAACTTGCTTAGCAACTTATTTGAATATTCTAACAATTCCAATTTTTAGAGTTTGACTGGGGACTGTAAATATTTACTGCAATTTGTACTTGTATCAGACTTGAATATCCAATACTCTTTGCACACTTCTCACACGCTCGCCCGTTTCACATGTAGCATAACATTTCGAATTTAGCTTCTCGGTTTATTTTAGAATCACTTAAAGAGTGAACGACTTTTGATATGCGGCGTCAATTATCTGTCGACCGTTAAGGGATGACTGTTCTCCTTATCAGCAGTGACGGCCTTTTGTTTTTGTTACTGAGCCGATAACAAAGACAGCAACGGGTGAGATAAGGCTTATATACACAAAATGCTCACACGTATGTACACACTAGGTACATACACACACACTTATGTATATACGTGCACATATATGTGGCTTAACTTTTATTGATAGACGACAGTTTGCTGGACGTTTAGCTAGGTGGAAATTTAACCGCACTTGTTGGACCAATGTAAGCCTTGGTCTCGGATATGTAATTGTCTTAGACCAGCCTCTGCCTCTGGCTCTGCCGCGCCCGTGTTGCTTGAGGCCCACGCGTTTTCTGCAGCTGATGCTTCTACGTTGAAATTTCTTTGCACTCACGTCTTGTTTTTGGTCGCGGGACTTGCTCTCTGCCACACACGAACACACAGCCACACAGCCACCTGCTCCGCACCGCACAGCTCCAAAGGCCAACGATTGTCGAAAAACGTGATTTTTTTTTTTTGTCACACGGTACCGATATACACGTTTTGTACTTTGAATTATTTTGTATTTCGTTTCACAGTGGAATTTTACCAGCAGCCGCGTATTGTGTGCGCACCGTTTGCGTGTATTTGTATATTTTACTACAAAGCACTTTACATATACGTATGTACATATATTTACTTGTGTATGTATGCGTATAATTTGTTGTTGCTGCTGTTGCTATAACTTTGTATTTCTTTTCTTCTTTTTTGTGTTAAAGCACTTGCGCTGTCCGAAACGCTGCTAAAATCAACTGCTCACTACGAACGGTCGAATTGAAATGAATGAAAAATACGCGGCGAACGGGCTAAAATTAAAACCTAGCGGCAAAAGCAAAAGTCGCGCATCGAAAACTGAATACCCTACCAAACTATAACTTTTGCAGATCTACAAATTAACGAGTGTATTTGCAACTTTAAATAAATACCATATATATTTTAATAATATAACCCATTCTGGTATTTTACGAACTAAATATATGACTGAAATTTTACTAGTTTGTCGACACGATTACATATCTGTTACAAACTGAATAGCGACCAAACTAAACTTTGCGTAAAGTGTGCACATATACACAACACGAGACCAAATACTGTGAGCAGTTCGTGAGCGAAGATGACGTGCCTCGGGTATGCGAGAAGTAAAATGGCAAAAGAGCTAGGAAACGTGAGAGAATCGAGAGAGAAACCGCCCCGCTGACACTGAGCGAAGCACTTTGCCAAGTCATGTTGTACTGCGGCTGACTTTGGTATGTGTGTGAATGCGATTGTATGTGCATATGTGTGTGCTGGCATGCGTTGGCTTTCAGATCTATTTGAGTGTGTGCGAGCGTGCGTTGATGTTATCGCATTTCGTGCGCGGCGAACGTGATTGCCACAGTGGGTCTGAGCTCAACATATTCGTTCAAATATGAAATGAATAGGTTACACTAATCAATTGCTGTTCAAATCTGTAGATTAAATAATCGCATCTACTTGTTTTGATTAGGAACTCATTTTTCAAGCTGAAATCCTTGTAAATAGAATTCTAAAAGTAGAGAATAACAACCTCTGTTAATAATAATAAACTATAAGAATAATTACGATGCTAAAGGGTTCTCTAATAACTATGGGGAACAATTTGCAAGCTGCACGCACCAGGAATTGGCCAGAAGTGCAGTTCATAGCCCTATTCGAATAATACAAAAGAATATGCATTCGACTTACACATGTTCCTATAGAAGAGTGTGTGTACGTAATAAATTTACTGGTTATGCATATGGACATTTATGTATATTTTGTATAAATCTACTGAAATATTATGTTAATGTTTATTATGGGAATAGTGAACTGCACAACCATAGTTAGTTGTGTGTGAATTTCTTGCATACACATACACATGTGCAGATAAATATGTAAGTGCACATGTATGGGTATGTATTGGAGTTATTAATAAGCATTTACTATACCGACTATAGTACTTATTGTTGACTGAGTGATTGTTAAAAATAAATATGTACAAACATAGTGCAGACATTCAGGCAGGAAAAAAGTTTTCGATTATTTTATTGATAATAAACGTTCACCCACACTGCATATAAAGATTACCGTTATGGAGCTCAATGGTCATTGGGGCGTGCGCTGCGTGCTTTTTTGCCTTTGCAGTTGTTGCTTCTGTTATGTTTGTCTGACAGCTTTCAAGTCGAAAGGCAGACGCAAACAACAACAAAGAAATAAAGAAAACACAACGTAGAAGCCCAAGGCAAATTAAGCAAAACAACAACAGTCTCAACGACAGCAGCAGCAGCAGCAGCAGCAGCAGCAGCAGCAGCAGCAGCGGCACATAATAAAACACGTGAACGTGACAAATTCCAACGCGATTCGCAGCTGTTACATTGGGCGGCGACAACAACGACGGCCACGTTTGACGGCGAATTGCGACGGAGCGAGGATTGCCTGGCAACAAAGCGATTGTCTCACAGACACACATTCATGCAAAGCGCAAGCTCTCGCGGTCGGCTGACATTTTGCTTTTAAACCATTTAAACACTCGACGCATTTATAAATATACTTATGTATGTATGCATGTATATAGATACACATGTGCATAAGTGTTATTATTAATCGAAATAATAATCATACGCTGAGTTGGCTGCTCATGAACAACACAACGAGCGAAGTGGCAGAGTGGCGCTTATTTCTGTCTCACTTACACTCACTGTTGTTTCTTCGTCGCTCTCACTCTCTCTCTCTCTCTCTATCTGTCGCTGTTTCTCTTTTCACAATGCGCTCCCTCTTTACTGTACGCGTGAGCAGCTTTTTAATCAAGACACGTCGAAAGCGGTCACAGCCAACGAAAAAAATTCATAGCGCATGACGTAATATCTCACGCGAGGCGAGCGTGTCAGCCATTTTACATACACACAGACGTTTGGAAATACATGTGTGTTTGTGTGTATATGCATACGTACACACAAATACACTCATACCGCAACACACATGCCTGTTTGTTGTTGGTCACGTGTTGTGCAAATGTTTCAGCTGCTTGTGAGTATTATCAGCACAGCACTTTGTTTATACACACGCATACATACGTATACGTATCCCATATACGTATACGTATACGTATACGTATACATACAGGAGGTGTACGTACATATAATTTTGTTTATTTCATTTTATTTTCCAGCACTTTAATTAAATTTAAATGCCAGCGGTCGCCACTCACAAAGGCATGCAATCTATTTATAGCTCTGGCAAAGGTCAAACCAAATCAAAGCAACAAGTCACTGCCCAGCACGATCAACAAATGTCACAAACGTGTCCAAGTCCACTGCGCAATGAAAATGGGCGCTGGCTGAAATGGCTTGCATAAGTTGCATTCCTTGCCATTGCTGTAGCTGTTGCTGATCTCACAGTCTGAGCTGGACAATTACAACTGTGTGTGTGTACAGTCATGTACTTTTATTGATATGTACATACATACATACATATGCACGCATGCATCGATATATATACACATATGTGTATGTATTCCGTGGCACGTGCAACGCCCCTTAGCAAATGTCTCATCACATGCTGTTACGTATACGAAGCCTATTCACACATTACACATACGCCCCGTAAGGCACGTGCGCGTTTATAGAACTTGAAAACTATTCACACGCAAGGTCCCACACCAAGACCCAGAGAAGCGGCCTTATCTTCAAGTTGTCTTCTAGTTGTTTCAATTGCTGTTCAAAAACAAATATTTTTCTTTCAATTCGACTATGTGCATAGTTGATTTTTGTTATGGTCACGTGTCGCTAATCCAAATGCGTTACGTGGCCTGTGAATTTTCATAGAAATAAAATGCAATCAAGCGACACAAAGCTAAGCAACTAAAACGAAAATGAACAAGGTTGTTGTTGCTGTTGTTGTTGCTGCCGCTGTTGTTTTTTCTTATAAACACGGCAAGCAGCGGGAAAAAAACAAACACTTGTAGAATGTTTGTGTGGGCATAGTTCCAAGCGCTGGCTGAGCCAACATACACATAGATACGACTAAATGTTTGATTGTGTAAGTATGCATGCGATTATCTGAACGTATCTGTATCCGTGTCGTCTGTATGGTTACTACCCTGCTTGTGTGTGTGTCTGTGTGTGTGCTTGCTCAGCTTACATTTGTAGTATAGAGGTGTTTACAATTAACCCATAAGCAGTTTGTTGTTTGAAAATGTTGTGAAGCCGCTGCTGAGTACAGCATGTACAGCTTGAAAGCCGTCCCCATAGTATCAATTATCTAAGATAATGCAAAAAATAATATTAATGAATAAGTGAGCTAGCTTGTTTTTTTTTTTTTTTTTTTTTTTTTTTGTATATGGTGAATTGCTCATAAATTATTTTTTAATTAGTTCTAGTATTTCTGTTTATTATTGTATACACATATGTATATTTTGATATTTACGATTATAATCTTACTACAACAGTTTAACTAATATGGTTTTCCCACTATACTTGCTCGCTCTACATTCTATTTCAAAATCAAAGCTCTTAAAGAAGATAAATAGGTAAAATGAATTCATTGTTCGCATATTTTAAAAGAACTTTAGAGCAGAGATACTGTAATGGTCTTTTAGCCAAAAGATTAGAAATCATGTTAAGGATCTGAAATATACCAAAATAACAAAAACAAATTTACTTACACCTTAAGCCTCAAATATCATTAGGTTTTTGTTTCCAATACAAGAGTATTTCGTTGAATTTTATTACTTTTTTTATTAAGTAAAATTGAAACTTAAATTTAATCTTAGCCATTTTACCATGATTTCAAATTTTCAATGGGTTCAAGTTGCATTTGAGTTTTGTGAGATTTCATGGACTTCTAAACTTCACTTAATCTAAAATGTATATATACCTTATCAACTCTTCTTTTCTATTCAATTTAAATAGAATTTTTTGAATAAATTGGACTTGTCAAAATTGCTCATATTTAGACCAAATCTTGTTGTTTTTCAGTATCGTCATGTAAATTTAATGTTCGAGTAAAAACAAAAAGCTGCCACCGTATAGAATAATACAGGTAAAGTAAATAATAGCATGCTATGTAAAATATTGAATTATTGAACTACAGTGAATCACATCCCGTTCGCCCGCAGTGAAACTGATTTGCATATGCCACAGGTTGGAATATACTGCATTTATATTGACAATATGTACAGATATAGATATCATTTGCACAATTTACACTTGAAATTAGCATAGGCTAATCAAATTGCTTAGCCGAGGGGCGGGGCAGCAGCTTTGACGCAGGCCAGGCCCCGCAAGAGCCGCTCGAAGGAAAGGCCCCGAAACGAAATAAAATGGGTGTGTGTGCTAAACAATTTGCTTCATAAATTTACTACATTCGATTAGCATCACATTTCATGTGGATGATTTGTATGTACGCTCAAATTGAATTTGAAATATATAACACAAAGTCGTGCACGCTTTTGGATTCTATAAATGAACTGAGATAACGAATAGCAAATAAAAAAATATACATAAATAAAAGCAAAACTCACAATTTCTTATCGCTTTGCCAAACTTTTAATTTCAAAGTCGAGGTAAATCTAATTAAAATGTACATACATATATGCGTATGAACATAGTACACTCAAACTGATAAGAGTAAAAGCAGAATACATATACATACATAAACGTGTGTATATGTATAGTGTGTGATTGTATGTATGTAGTCATGGCTATACCTATTGCATAAAACTGCGAGCCCTGACGAAGCCGTAATGAAACGAAAGCTCAATTTCATACTCACTTATGCGTTGGATTTGAGTTCTGGGAAAATATTAGTGCTTTCTGTGGAAGCTTATTAAATAATACCGTTTACAGTCGAAAATGTTGACTAAGCAACGTTTGTGTTTTATAGTTTATATATTGAAGAGAAATTGGGGTTAATTGTAATTGTTTTGGGAACTTTTTTCTATGTATATTTCAACTTTTTTGACCGAATCTTATTTTCGAATTCGAATTCCAATTAATTAAAATTTTATAAATTCCAATTAATTAATATTTTATAAATTTTCAATGTGTTGTCTTTCAATAAGAAATAAAACTTTTATTTTATATATACCCTATTTTTATATAACACAACTAAGAATTCCAAATTTGCAAGTCGACTTCATCATTAACTTTTAATAAAGCTATTTAAACAGATTAAACCGCAGATTGCAAGTTAATGCTCGCTTGTAAATAAATTGTTCTCTGTGCTGAGGAAGTCAGGAAAAATATTTAAATTCAAAAAATAAATAAATAAATATGTAAGTAAATGGCCAACCGTGACACGTGTGGCCGCAGCTGAACAAATAGAGAATAGAAAACACACACACACACATACTAAAGCGACAATCCGTAAGTGGAAGATGTGTGGCAAAAACAAAATTGCTGCATTCATTAAATGTATGTAGATAAAAAGTAGTACATGCATTACATGACATACTCATATGTCTGTGTGTATGTATGTGTATGTGGGTTTATATATTGACACGTTTGCCTCGTGCGGCTCGTTTAGCTAATTGGGATAGCAATCGGGTATATTTGCTATGGAAAAGAAACTTGCTTTCACTGATAAACAATAAAACATTTCCTTTAAATTATAAAAATAAATATTATTAATAATAATGTTATAAATTGAGTTTAAGTTTAAACAAAAATGTACAATAAAATTCAAAAAGTGTGAGTAAAAGAAAAAAGTATTTCAAACTTCCATGTTTTATTTTTATCTCTCTCTTTTCTCTCTCGATAAACCGATAAACTGTCTTTCTCCCTGTCTCACTATCTCTCTTTCTTTTCTGCCAACTTGTTTCATTGAAACTTAACTTTCGAATAAAAAGAGGGCATATCAGAATAACAGTAGAAATTTGTCAAATGTGTTTTATATTTTAAATACACATATTTATTTATTTACAGCTTACATACATTTTATAATTTAATATTATTTTAGTAGATAGATATTTTTAAATTAATTTTTTTTTTTATATTTCATATATATTTATATTTTATTAGGTATATTCTAGCCAATCAACCACAAATGTTTTTCATTAGTATTTGAATTTGTTGCTGTTGTTGTATTATTTGAATTTCATTTGATGTCGAAGCATTTCGTATTTGTTTACGTTCTCGAGTTCTATTTTCGCTGCGCTCGCAGCTTATGTAAAAGTTACAAGCCGAGTTACACGTTTTGCATTTAAATGCTGTAGCCGTTTGATAAATCAGATAAAGCGGGTTTTGGATTTCCTATTCGGCCTGCTACTCTGGCGACAAGGTGACGCCGCAGCTTTGGACTTTTGTTTTGATGTTGATTGTAATAAATGTAGAAAAACACATATACACACACCACACTGATACAAGTAGTGGCATCTGGTTTAATTGAATTTGCATACGGATTTTAGGGCTGAGCTTCCCTGACCATGGCCGGAATTGCCTTGAAGGAGCCACATTCACATTTAAAGATTCGCTAATGTAGACGACTCTCCCTATTACGCATACGCCGTGGGTGCCCGAGGGGACCGGGGTGCCCTGGGTGCCCTGGGCGTAATCCAAAAGACATTGTTATGTCAATCCAAAGCCGCGAACGAGTCCAGAGCCACAATGACAATGTGCCAATAGTGTCGCTGCCAATATTTGTCATGATAGTTACATCGGCCCCGTTACGTATGATTCGTATCTTAGTATATACGTATATACCGATGTGTGTATATATACCGTAATAAATATATGTATGTATGTATATATATTGTGACGCACTTTTCGTATGGTAACGGAAATTCATTGAGGCAAACGTGCGGTGCAACTGGCACCAGTTCCGAGGGTGTGCCCCTGCGGTTGCCAACAACAGAACTTAATAAAATACCAGAAAATGCGTCATACAAAATGAAAGAAAAAGAAAGAAAAATATTATTTAAAAATGTGTAACAAAACAACAAAACTCATAAACTGAAAATTGAAAACAATTGTTATTAATAATTCAATTCTGCATATAGAACACAAATATCCACACTCACACACACAGGCACACACACACATATATACAAAGACGACTAAAGTTCAGTTGTACTTGCGGACGCGAACTAACGAACTTGCCTGCTAATGTGCAACACGTGTGCGAGAGCTCAGAGACTTGCCGGCTGGCTAATTGAGCGAAACTAGACGAACAGCATTGAACAGGAATGTGTATATGTATGAATATGTAAATATAAATATGTACATAAATAACCAATTTCGATATACATATTCAATAGTTACAGTAGAGTAGAAGTGTGACTCTTTGTGTGTGTGTGTGCAATGCATTGGGGAGACATTGCCTTATTAGAGCGTTAATTGGTTTTGCTGTTATGCCATTCAAGTGTTAAAATTGCGAATCGCAACAAATTAATTAACAGGTATGTAATGTGCAGCAAATTGCATACATTTTTAGCGTGGTGAAAGGAAAAGAAACAAGAAACATTTTTGCAGACATATTAATGCTTGCCAAAGAAATTTATAAAACTATGTTCTTATATTAATTGTATATGAATAAATTAATAATCCCATTAGATGGCACTTTCTTTGCGTATAATTTTGCCGCCAAATTCAAATCAATGGACGAATACATGCGAATGGCAAAAACAGCACAAACCCTGCTTTAGTGTTGCCAGACAGTCGAAACACTATTCAGTTTGCAGCTGCGACTTGGGCATTTACCAACACTTCACAAAGCCGAGTCAGCTGCTAACCATTTAGTTAAGCAATTTTACGGAAATTTTTGTAAATCTTTTTAAATACGTGTAATAGTCTTAGAATATTAATTTTGAAATCGTACGTGCAATACTCACAAATACCCAACAATATGTGTTAAACCGATAATCGTTTTCATTTGAAATGCAACGCGGCCTTTTGGCCAATAAAATGCCATCACTTTGTTTGTTGTTGTCCCCTGTTGTTGCCAAGGAAACGAAAAACGCAAACACAACAAGTTACGTCGCAGCACGGTCGATCGTGTGCATGTGTGTGTGTGAATATGTGAGCTCCACACTTCCTTCCGGTCTAATTTTTATACCAAATGAAGGATATCGCACAAAGAAGCAGCGCTAACTTATATATATTTCTAATTTCCACAAAAATTCAACAAAAATAAAATGTCCAAATATGTGCAAAAAATTTGATTTGAAAATGCAATCTATTCAAATCCAGGATTCTGTCAAGTGTGCAGGATGATATTACGCATTTGATATGGTGAGTACTAGAAAAATCCATTGGACTAATTTAAGTGACCGCCTCCACTCCGCCCCCGCTGCTGTTCCCGTTCCACAGGACGGCAAATGTCACAATTATGTGGAAATGAAAGAACTTTGCGAGAGTCAAAGATCAAAAAGCATGTAACTTTTTCCATTTTTCCAAGCATTACGAGGATTTGTAAATGAGTTTTCATTGAACGGGAAAATGAGAAAATTACGCTTCCCACACTTTGAACTCGAGTTTTCCGACTTTAAACTTTTGCAGCGCAAGCCATTTTTGTAGGGCTTAATGTTTAGAGGCAATTAAGGCGAGTCCTGGCCACGGCCACCAGCAAACCAACCAACCAGCCAGCCAGCCAGCCAACCAAGCGGCCAACCAACCCCCAAAATATACACATCCAGGTAACAGTTTGTGGCAGGACATGTATGTGCTATGCGTGGCACAGCCACCCGCGTGCACCTTCGCATCCAAGTGGCGTGTGCGATACTCTTACGGCTGCCATGCCCGGTTGCACAGCCGACCGAGCGACCGCGCCAGGTGTAGAACAAGTATCTCGCTGCACATTTCCGCTTTGCTGCCTCGCACCGCTTGCCTGGACTAAGCCAGCGAGGGGGGCGGGGTCAGCACATGCCAGGCGAACGCTCGCATAATAACTGTCAGAGCATCTGATGATTTGATGGCTTTGCTGATGACTGTCAATAACTCCCATAATTCTCATCATTCTCATCATTGGCGACATTCGACCCGAAGTGCTCTGAACTGGTATAATTGCAAGCCGCAAGTATCGCTGCTCAGGTGAACAATGTGTCTTTTGCCATTTCAATTAATGCGCATATAACATATTTGATTAAACAGCCATTGGAGCAATGGGAAAACACTGCAGAGTTCGGCCACAGCTCGATTGCTGATTGCATTTCGATTTTCTCACTTGACCGCATTTTCAGCTCCCTTTGCTTTCAAATCACAATTAATTTGCTCAAGTTACGAGTTAAAAAAAGACCGTAGCCATTGGACACTGACTTGCTTTAGAGAAGAAATCATATCGTTAGAGTGTAAATGATAAATCATAATTAAATGGGGTTTAAAATGAAATTGTCCGTTTTTAGGAATATAATCTGATATACTTGATAATAAAATATAAATATTAATATAATTGTCAATATAATAGAAACTCATTTTTAACAAAACAAAATACTTTGAATGTATTATAAATGTAAGTATTATGGAAACATAATATAAAATCATTTTAAAGAAACCCCTTTTATAAAAATACTTTAGCTCCAACAGATTTGTTGCTGAA